TCTATATAACAGCATCCTACTGCAGATATAATCAATTATTATAAGCGAAACACATCTACTTGCATTACACCTGACTGAGTGACGGGGTAACCAAAAAGACGAAGGTAAATGACACTAATACATTTTATTTATAAGATTATTTATAATGTTGTATGGAATACATTAAAATATTTTAAAAAATATTTGTTTTGCATATTAATGTAGAGAACTGATTCCTGTTCTTCTCCAAATACATGTACATATCATAGTCTCCTATGTATAACACCAGTAGTGTGACGGGGGAGGTACCCTAACAAAATGGCCTATACATATTGGAATGATTTAAAATAATTATAATAACCATGTGTAAAATATATTTTTCCACTTACAAGTATTTATATACCAACTGCACGATAAAAACATGCATGAGCTCTTTTGATTTAATTTTCAAAGAATAAAATGCACATGTATTGCAAAATCAGAACAAAAATGAAAATAATGCTTATTACCAATCCTTCTTTATGGAGAAAATTTTGAGATGAGGTTTTTAACGTCTTAAAAAACCCTTTCTATACATGTATTTATGTATGTTTCTCCATGTAGAATGACGTAATAATCGCGGTAAATACATGTATTTATGTATGTTTCTACATGTAGAATGACGTAATTATCGCGGTATATACATGTATTTAAGTAATTTTCTACAAGTAGAATGACGTAATAATCGCGATAAATACATGTATTTATGTATGTTTCTATGTAGAATGACGTAATAATCGCGATAAATATATGTATTCATGTATGTTTCTACATGTAGAATGACGTAATAATCGCGGTAAATACATGTATTTATGTATGTTTTTACATGTAGAATGACGTAATAATCGCGGTAAAAACATGTATTTATGTATGTTTCTACATGAAGAATGACGTAATAATCGCGATAAATACATGTATTCATGTATGTTTCTACATGTAGAATGACGTAATAATCGCGGTAAATACATGTATTTATGTATGTTTCTATGTAGAATGACGTAATAATCGCGATAAATACATGTACTTTTGGAGCTTGCTGAATGCATACAATCAGTAACTTTCCAAGAGTGGTAAAAATTCCTATTTTAAATTTTTTATTCAATACTTTTGAGCAATTTATGCACGTTTACTTCCTCCTTTTAAAACATAGAATAATACTGTACTTGTTGAAAATATTCAGCCGCATACATTTAACAAATATAAACAAGAACATATATTCTGCAAAAGAATACACTTTTCTCATAACGGTGCTGCATGAGTGCATTCACATTCTTGTGATAATTTTTGTAAACAGGTGACTTTACATTTAAAATGTTTTTGTAGCATTTATTACCCCTCCGTCACTCCACATACTTGCATCAGACTAAGATCATGTGGCACCATATATTGGATACCCATCAAAAGAGGGCCATTGTTATTGGAGTTCAATGAAAGTGTTGGTGAAATCCAGACAGTTTACTCCATGTCCATGTCAACCCACCACTCCCCATTTACCTGATGAGATTCCTGTTTGGTGGTAAATTCAAGTGTTCATTGTTCATTAACTTTACTTTAATTTATCTGAGTATTTTATTCCACCATTTTCCAATATAAAGTACCGTATTAACCATCTGTGATAGATATGAAATATGTGCTTGCTAAATCTGATGTGTTTTTATATGTGTTATGCTTATGATTTATGCTTGTTATAATTAATACTGTTCCTGCTTTTAACATGCATGTGCAATCATCAAACTGTTTACTGGTTATTTTAGTAGTTCGATGTATATATAGTTTTGCTGCAAAATCCTACCTTTTCTACTCGCATGCCTTTTACCTTGTTATTACTGTTTTTATACTTATGTTTGTCGTGAAAATTACTCCACAGAGCTAATGTTCAATGATATGCCATATTCCGTCTTTGCGTATTGCAGAGTTATCTTCTCTTGAGAGCAGGTATTGATTGTTACGTCATTTGTTTTTGAGAGTAACGTCATCATTTTTTGAGAAAACGACGTAATTTTCACAGACAAACCATTGACGTAAAAATCAATACCTGCTCTCAAGAGAAGAAAACTCTGCAATACGCAAAGACGGAATACGACACTAAGTAAAGCTTCTTGTACTTGTATTGTTCCAAAGACGTATTTGGGTCTTGCATCATATCATGGCATGTCAGAATGGATGTTATGTTATGTTATTCCTATGTATGTGGTTTAGATCGCTTATATCTCTTTCTACAAACTTGAAACAGCTGGGCATGTAAATATTAGGAACCTGGGTCACTTAATCGGTACGTAAATATATATATATGTTACTGCTTTAAACCGCGGGAACATGTACATTGTAGCCGGTGGTGGTCATTCGAAGGGAGATAACCTGTATGTCCCGATAGAAATCTTGCTGAATTAGTTTGACTGTTTCTACAACTACAACTTCTTTGCTGAAGGAGAGAACGGGAGAAGTGAAATTCGATCGCCAGTATCTCAGTTGCCTGGTGCCGTTTATAATTCTGAGGTCGTTTGAATCCCGGTTTGGATGTTGTTTGTTTGTTTGTCCCTTGTTTTTACCACGACACAACTTGCTATTAGTCGGAAATCATGCTTTGGAAACGACTTTCTTTGAATATGCAATTGATCTTAAACCGTAAAACGTCCCTGTAATTGTTAGTGCTGCGCTCCAGCTGTGATTCATTGAAACTCTTTTCTACCATTGGAATTGATATATATTCTTTAAAAAGAAAAGATACAAGAGAAAAAGACTAAAAATATTAAATATCTTCTATGTGGTCTATATTTAAAGAGACTTCTATAGAGACCTCATATATAATAGGCTTTATTTTTATTATTATTTTACGGCATATTCAATTCCTTTGGTAGAAATGACTTTCAATCGAGTCTTTTTTGTTTTTTCCCTTACTTTATGGACTAAATATCACATTCCTGTTTTTAATGCGACTCGTTGGCCACACCACAGAACTAGATTATCCAAGTTCATGGCCACACTAAGGAGGATTTCCAAAAAGAGTTGAAAGAACAGTAACAAATGATTATAAAACATCAAATTTAATCAGTTAAATACATGCACACAATTGATGTATATATATATCTAACAAAAATAATATAAAGCAGATAAAATAAGATCATGCCGTATAATGTACTGACATAAGGTACTCCAAGTATCACTCAGTAATCAGCAGTAGGTATCCATGTCACATAGGTACAGAAAGGCCTACGTCACCTCCAATATACACAAGTGTCCTTGTTATGTCACTTATAAATGGATTTCACAGTTTCACTGTGTGTGGCAGTGTTGGATCTCCTAGAACACCTGACATAAATCAGAGTCTGCACACCTTGAGGAAAACCAGCAAAGGCTTGAAGCAACGACTTCTCCACTTCCACCAGTTAACCTTTAAATCTTTACAACTGCTTTGCTACATCATTATTGACATCATCGAACTCCTTGAAAATACTAACCATTCACTTGGTGGCCACTGATGGCCTTAAGATTTACTTTTGCATCTTTATTTTGAAAACAACCTGATTTATCTCTAATTTAACATAACACAACTTAACTCATTCACCCCTGAAATTTCATAATGAGCTATTCTAATCTTTGAATTGGAAGAGTTCACATGTGTCTTCAGGGGTGAATGAGTTACAATATAAATCCATGACCTAAATTATGATAATATGAACACTGACTTCCGTCAGTGAGATGAAACCTGTAAGGGCGGATTCATGTAGGCGCGAAACCCGTCATCCATCCATCCATCCTATGATTATATAGCCTACATTAGCAGCGTATCATCAGATTTTAAATAAAAGGTCTAAATTATAGGAACGTGAACAGAACATTTAATTTAGGTCTTGTTCTTACCACCAGTCATGTTATATGTGCAACACTATCTCTGCACATGCATTTAGCGACCATGTGGTTTGACCTAGTGTCCGGGTCCCCCTTTTTGCTTTGACAACTCGCTCATATTCAAATCAGTTGATACTTATTGTCATTCCCATTTATATGCAACATGTTCCTGTGGTTACTTTGTTTTCAAATAAACACAAAGCACAAAGAATTATGGTGATAAATAGGTATTGTCAAGGTCATCTACAAAACTACAACACCACACTGAAATCTCCTGGTGTCACCTAGACATCACACACACATAACAAATTATGTTACCAGGATTTCTAACAAGATATATATATTTAAAAGATAACAAGATAAAACAGATGTCTACCAATGTGATTAAGTAGATTGGAGGTATATAAGAACCAGCAGGATACACACCAGTCCCAAATAGTTAGTCTGGCCATCACTGTACTGGCCATAGGAATTAAATCCAATACAAAACAAACACCAAAAAGCCAACTAAAGTAACAAGTAAAAACTTATAAAACATTTCCTATACTGCTCATCTGGTTCCAGAACCACAATCCGATAAAGTTTTATTGTTGTGACAAAACATTCACACCAGTAAATTAGACGTTCTCTCTCATACATCATGATCAAACTAAGTTTGTTTTACAATATTCAATTATTTACGACAGTATCTTCATTGTAATTTCTTAACCACAGTATCAAGGTCCTTAACCCTTTCACCCATATGTAACTTTAGTTGACTCTACCATGCACTGATCTGGGTGAGTCCATTATGGTCTACAGTGGTGAAAGGGTTATCTCATTCATTCCCGAAGACACATTTGAACCCTTCCAATTCAAAGGTTGGAATAGTGCATGTTAAATAGCTTTCATCTTGTACATTTCTCTCCTAATAATCTACAGCTCACAGCTACAGTTACTTGTAGAAGCTCTATTTACCTAATACATGACAAGAGTTTCAGCTTGTACCTCTATAGTGTTATGTATTACATGAAAGAGCTTTCTGCTTGTAACTTTACTGATTTACAGCTAGTGGATCTAATGAGTTTTATCAATGAAAGAGCTTAGGGCTTGTATTCATAATTATAATGTATGCAAAATATAAATGAGCTAGAGCATAAAAAAATGGAATTTACAGCAAGTATCATTACTGGGCTATTATATCAACATCACTTATAGCTAGTACCTCCTTTGAGCTGTTATTTCAAATAGCCTAGGTGTACATATTTTAGTGGTAAAGTTATTTTAGGGCTTTTCATTCTGCGCTAAATCAACTGTTCTTTATTGCACATTTTTGAGTGCAAAAATCCTTTAATACGGTAATCTGTTAACATTTGATAATGTGCCGAAACAAGTAACTGATAAGGCCACAATGGAATTGAGCAAGTAAGAGCTTGAACCTTGGGTAAGCTAATATCATTTATGCATTACATATAAAGCAACACCAACTTATTATTAATGAAAAATAATTATACACTTTATAATATAGTATAACTGGTGTTTTTAAAAATGATAAAAACAGGGGTCCCATATCATAAATACAACAGTAATACACAGGACAACATAAAACACATTGTTATAGACTTGTCTATTCAATCTTTTGAATATCATTAACTCACCGGCTTAGATTAACATAGAAGTGTGCACTATGTCACAGTTTCAACCATTTACAGTGAATAGAAATTATAACCAAATTATAAAGGGAATTATTGAGTACAATTTTGGTAGATATTTGTTGCTTTTGAAGCATAGTGGTGCTGAGACATATATGGCCTTTTATGTCTCTCGTTGGTGTCAAGTTAGATTCTGTTTGAAAAACAAACATCAGCAGTTCCTTGTTACTCATATTAGGAACATCATCATAACCTTACAACTTTGGAGAGCATGAAGCATTAGTTCAAGGTCAGCAAAATCCAAAGTCTGCAAATCCTGGGTAAGCTCAGTGAATCAGAGGTCAGCTGATGAGTTACCCAGAGGTCAGTGAACCCAGCATAGCTAGGAGGCTACACATGATGAACTCTGTCCACAGGAGGTAATCCCAGTTTTAAGACTATGATAAGAAGCCTCTAAAAGTTCATAAGATTGGATGAAAACACAATTCATAAAATCGACAACAAGTTTTACTTAGATGGACATAGTTTACAAGTTTGTCCTGTAATGTTCTAAACTATTGACAATTTAGGGTAAATTTAATTAGGAAAATAAAGTTAAATTAGGAAACAACCATTTCTGAATGCTGCTTAAGAGAACAATAATCATGAATTAATTGTTTTAATATATTCATGTCTGCTAATTGATAAAATTCAACCTTCTTGACTTTTATAATTTGTATACATGCTAGTCAAAATATTTTTTTTCTTTAAAAACACTTTTGATGCAACAGAAATAGCCAGAACATCCTCCAAGGTAGGCACTCAAGTTTTCCTTGCATACAGGAACATGTCCACATACTTTTCATACATGCATGGAAAGGTTACTTATTTATCTCTGCCAGAGCTGCCCCAATAAAAGAAAATAATAGTTGAAGGGTGCACCAAACCAGGGGTGCAATTTTCTCAAAGAGATCCTATGGAGGATGTTCTGAATATCTCCACTTCATCATAAACAAAAGGACTTTTGTTCAGTTATAATGGACAAGCATAAAAGCATGCATGGAAGCTAGGCCACTATTAGTGGCAGTCAATACAATAAGAACACAGAGGTTAGGGTCCCCTAAAGACCATGTCTCTTTAGCCTGAAATAGATCGTCTTTTTAACAAAAATCGTTAATTGGTTTTTTTTCTCAAGACTTCTGCTTCCATTAAAGCTTGTTGCCTACGTTAAGAGCATGTCAGATTTATAATCAGGTATCTGGACACATCATTGAAAGGTGGGTCGTTTCTGTCTTGTAAACAAGACAAATATCATACATTCCCATAAAACAGTCAAAGAAGAAAATATTTGATTTCTTGACAATTAAAGCACCAATAAAAAACACAGATCGTTAAATACCAAAGATCAGTTGTTTTAGTTAAAAGCCCTGCCAGTCACTGTGGGCATCTGTGTCATCTTCTGTGTCCATCTTATAGCAATGAATGCCATTCTTGATTGCTGGAACACCTTTTCCTTTTCCTGTAACAGATTTGGAGATTACATTAGCCTGTGATTTAACTTTCATGCATTCTATTTTCCTAACATTACCATTTTGTGAAAAGTTGTTAAAAATCTATTTCAGCTCAACGGGATTGTTTTTGGTACATTAGAATGGCACCAAACATTTATGAAATGTTTCAGTTTTTAACCATTTTGTTTGCACAGAGGTAAATATTTATCTCACATACTACCTCTTTTTATTCATACAGTACAAGATCTTCTAACTTTGATTGTCAATTGCATTTACCACTGTATTTAATTTTTTGAAATAGGAATTCAAAAGTCTTAAAGTGGACAGACCTTCCAGCAAAGGAATAAATTTACTTGTAGGAGTCCGAGCTAAATCTTTGTTATTGAATAAAGAAATGGCCTCCTAAATCAATATGTTTGGACTTGAAGTACTGAGTCTTAATTCATTTGTGTTGAATCACACCTCCTTGCTTAAATTTCTTTATGTTGGCCCATAACAGACACACACAAAAACAGACATACACTGCGATTACTCTGTTGCTTTAATTATAATAAATCATAAAATATTATGTCATGTTAACTTAAAATATTGAAATCAATTTACATGCACATTAATATATGTATTATGAACAAAGATACATGATGATAAACACATTTTTACATAACAACGCATGTCTGCAGATCAGCTGGGTTAAGGTAAACGGTCAGGGATGAAAATGAGTAAGGGGAGGTAATCCATACCTAGGACTCTGGCCATAAACAATAGGTCCAGTGTCTGAGTTTGATCTGTGCTGCTTTTTATCGTCAATGTTTCATTGATCAGCTTTTCCTTGATTGCATGAAATTCCACCTCTATGTTGTGGCCTAGACCTTTAAAAGAGATGCATTTTAAGACATTTCTGTATTTACATTTTTTTTATGTAACCTGTGAATGTTTGGTTTCGGCTAAATGTTAATTCACATAGATGTATAATATAAGTATTTTCTTTTACATAAATGTATCATACAAGTATCTACAGGGAACTTTTTACAGGAGTTTGATCAAGGAAATTCTATGAAGAATTAAATTTACAGAAAATGAATGTCCATCCAGAGTTGATTACTAAGTTAACCTGATACCGACATAGTTGGTTGGTACCATGGATAGCCAATTTTTGTATGTAAAAATGTCCATGGATAAAGATATTGTTATTCCGTCTTTGCGTATTGCAGAGTTATCTTCTCTTGTGAGCAGGTATTGATTGTTACTTCATTGGTTTGTGTGAAAAAATTAAGTCGTTTTCTCAAAAATTGATGATGTAACCAGTACTCTACCAATGAGGTAACAATCAATAACTGTTCACAAGAGAAGATAACTCTGCAATAAGCAAAGACGGATTATATATACGAGAACACCAAAACAATGTATACACTTTGCATGCTGAGTTGTATAACGCCACATTTAGCTCTCAACTAAATTGTTTAATTCACTTAAAATCTAATGCTGTTACAAGTTTGATCATTAATCCTAAATGTCTTACCATCCTCTGTAGGACTATACTCTTTGAGGTGGACATAAAGATTTTTTGATGGGTCTGCCACAATGTCCTCACTGAGTCTGTCCTGGATACAGAACTTGACTGTATAGTGGTGGAACATCTGGAGGAAACCAAGGTGTACTTCTACGCGACCTTCACTCACATACTTCAGCTGGATCTCAAGGTCATGGGCCTTAACCTGTTCTGCCTCAAAGTGTACATGTGCATGTTCCCCGTTATCTGAAAGGGATCCAATTATTTTATCCAGCGTTACCTCAGATTAACAAGGCTATCACTGTTTATAGACATAACCAATTAATCACATCAAAACTAAATAATTTAACTGCTGAAATTGTTAAATGGTAAAACCTATTGTATGGTTTGAAAGCTTTACCATTGATACCAACATGTAGAATACAATATTTTCCAAAGATATTGTTAAACATAGATATATATGGAGGCATTGCAAACGATACAAATTAACCATGAATGCATGTGCAAATGCCTAAAAGAGAGCATATCAGGGGCGTAACAAACAGGTTTTCAATGTGTAAGCCCAATGATGAAGTGTGCTGCTGAAGGCAGCACCCCGTAGCGCGAGGAGGGTGAGGGTATAGGAGGGGTTTTTCCCCTCCCATTGGTGGGGGTCTTGGGGGTCTCCCCAGGAGAATTTTGTTTTCTAGAACACATGAGACGCGTTCTCCCTTGTTCTGGCATCAGTTTTAATGGCCATTTTAAAGCAAGAAAATATCGTTTTCCCTTTTTATTTTACAAATAATTTGCTTCTTTTTGGGTACGTAGGGATTGGTACTCTTCTTCGCCAATTCTGTTATGGAGTTCGGTAACATTATACCACAGAAAAGAAAAATCTAAAATCATGTGGATTTTGGGATAGTTGTTGTAAGAGTGTGACGTTTCTCCTCGAGACTGTGACTCCGGTTGCGCAGGGATATGTGACTAGTATCACAAGCTAGCACTAGGAATAGTTTAACATTATGTACATAAGAACCTGGGGGGGGGGGGGGGGGGGCTAGTTAGTACTATGTGTATACCAATAATTTGCATAGCTAGAGTTGCACTGACACGGTTACCATGTCAAATGATTGAACCAACCATGCCTACCAACCATATTGTTCCCTTTATATGTATAAAAGCGGTAAAAAAAACTTAGAAACAGTTTATTTCACGGGGAAACTAGAGTTAGCGTTTGGGTACACCACAGACTTAGATAATTCCGTGGGTACACCGATAATTAGCAAGGCTAGAGTTTTACTGGCACGATTACCATGCCGAATGAATATGCTACCCTCAGTTCTACATTTGTTAGAGACTTTGATTGCAACGAAGCATTTTAGTTGGCGGTCTTTATAGCAGATACAAAACATCTGTCATTGCTTTTTAATATTTTATATCATATAGTCTATGTTGCATTTATATTTTTTTATTTTGTCAAAAATGATGTGTAAGCCCAGGCTTTTTTGCTACATAGGTTGTTACGCGCCTGCATATAATATACACCTTGTATGTTGCAATTGTCAATAGTAAATATAGTTATGCACTATTTCAGCAATTTCATTCTCTGATAATCAATTTCTATATCTGTCATATTTTTGAACTTCACCTTTAACAAAAAAGTTCTTCATAAATGTTTATGTGTACAACATTGCTAGCAACAAAGATTTTCTATAAATAGCTGTAGGTAACCTTGACCTACAATGTAGCTTGTTTGTAACACCCTGAAATACAGAAACTTGTTTAAAGTATTCTTATACTTGAAGATTGTACTGGTTTATATAAACAAGAGGCCCATCAGTCCTGTATCACTCACCAGTCACCTGGCTCTTTTGTTACCTGAACTAGAACAAGTAAAATCTTTCCGCTTACCTCAAAACTAGCATTATGATCTCGGATATTTTAAGGATTTAAAAAAAAAAATCAACATGTACCCTTATTAGGGCAATGACAGCAATATTTGTATGATGTTTAGTTATAGATGATCTGCTGGAATGGAGATTTTAAATTATACATTGCAGCAAGTAAACAATGTTTCAGACAGGGGGGGGGGGGGTTGCAATTTCATTCTTTCATTATCAAAATAAAAAGTTTTGTTTGTTTCTAGTTAACCTACCTACCTTAATTTTTGGGCCTACTCTGGACATTTTGGGTTAATTTTCTGGGAAGCATTACTAAAGTCAAAATTAATATCCTATATAAATCCAGGGATATACTCACTGTCCCTGATAAATCTAATTAAAAAAATGAGTTCAGAACTGAGTCTGTAACAAAACAAACATGTTTTTTTTTTTGTTTGGCCTTTACTATTTTCTTTACTTAAACTGGAAAAACTTAAAACTTGTGTGGGGCAATTCATGCGATAACAATACATTACTTTCTTTAGGATCCATCGTCGAAACAGTTACAGCAACTGGATCACTCGGTATCGTCTTGTTGTCCCGGCGTTTAATTTTTGTTTCCAATTGAATTTTAAGTTTACTCCAAATCACGGAATTAGACTCAAGTCCACGTCCCAATATTACGCCAGTACAGCAGATGACAGCAAAAATAATAGTAAATAATCTGTCACCTCAAACCAAATAACCTGATAACCAGACACTACGATCGGCACGTAGTATTTACTCTTTTGATCCTAGTCTTGAGGCCGCAATTAACAGATTGCCAGGTATTTACTATCTGTATAACACGACCCAAGGCACGTGTATCCTACATTCGACAGACCTGTTTGTTTCTTCTCGTACCGACTTACATACCACAAATTCACCCGACCATGTGTTTGTATTTACAGGTGACCCTGACGGAAATAACAATCATGCCTGTGTACCTACAACAACACGCGTGGTGGGATTGAAAGATTTCCGGACAAGGGAAATAACTGAACGTGTTTATTACACGCGAAATATAAAGCTGTCACCTACACCTATCTCCTTCAATCACCTTCGTTCAATTAAAGTCAAATCTTCATCAGTTGAAGTAAAATGTCATGGATGGGTTACAAAAATAAAGACCGATGTTATACTATATGCACATGTATTGTAGATTTTGGCGAGTCAATCAACAGAAACATTAGAGATGATCTAGGAACAAGAAGAGCATTCCACGATGTATGGAATGCCAAATTAAAATATATTCAAATTATTGCACCTATCTAGGTACGATTCAATTGAAGATAAGTGCAATTCAGTTGAAAATAAGTACAATTGAATTAAAGATAGGTTCAAATATGACGAATTAAACCTATCTTCAATTGAGTTGTACATATCTCCAATTGAATTGAACATGTCACCTCTTCAATTGAATCGCATCTATCTTCCAATTGAATTGTTCATATTTTCAATTATTTGAATATATGTTAATTTTCAATTAAACACATATTCAATGAATTATACCTATCTTCAAATAAAGTTGATTCAATTCAATTGAGGAGATATTGTATTTGTACACAGGTTCAATTCAATCGAAAATAGCTAATTTAATTATTTAAAAATAGATACAGTCGAATTGTACCTATCTTCAATTGAATTGAACCTATTTTCAATTAATTGCACCCATCTTCAATTATTTATGAGTATTTGTGAGTTTTTCGTTGTGTAGCTGTTCTATCAGAGAAAGTTTGTTTGTTTGTTTGTTTATGTTTAACGGCCCATCGACGGCTGTGGTCATTAAGGGCCATGGTGATTTTATTTATTTTTGTATATATTTTTAACAAACATGTGAGTAGCGAAGATAAAATCAGATAAAATGGTTCATTTTAAAAGCATTCGCATTGTATGTGTAGATAATAAAAAACAAAAAGGGTGTTAAAATAATAAAAGAGATAACGAATAGATGATATGGAATATGCGATATATATAACACGTCAAAAATGGTAAGTAGGGTTAAAAGACATCAGAGTCTATAAATATAAAATAGACCGATGTCTTTCAAATAGTTAAATAATGCCTTCGAATCCACGGAACTGAAAAGTGTTTCATATCCGGGACTCGAAAGTAGTTATCACGAATGTGTTTAAAATCGGAACATTCTATTAAAAAATGTTTCACTGTAAATGGAGTGTCACATGCGTGGCATGAAGGTATATCTTCTCGTTTTAAAAGGTACGAATGAGTAGGATATGTGTGCCCAGTGCGGAGCCGAGCGAAGACAACTTCCTCTCTACGATCTTTCCGACTGGGAATAGATGTTTTAAGTTTTGGTTGTATCTTAAAAAGGTTGTTGGTGGTCTCAAGAGACCAGCGTTGCTGCCATTCATTTTGAATGGCTGTACGAATGGTAGGTTTAAAATTTGTGTATGGTAGTTTGATATTTGTTTGTTCAAGATTCGATGCATTTTTTGCTTCCCTGTCAGCAAATTCGTTGCCTTTAATTCCGACATGGCTCGGAATCCATAGTAAAGTTATTTTAGACTTTTTTAAGATACGAGATATTCGAAGGGCAAGGTTTTGTACGAGTGTGTTTTTAGGATCTCGTAACTGTAAACTCTGTAGGACAGATAGAGAGTCTGAACAAATAATTGTCTTTTTAATGCGGTGTTCATCGATATGGTCGAGGGCCAAACCAATGGCGCATGCTTCAGCAGAAAAGATGGAGGCGCCGTCTGGTAGTCGGACTGAAGTGCAATTATTAGCAGTACAGCAGGCTGCTGCCACTTTCTCACCTTCTGTGGAGCCATCGGTGTAAAGTTCTGTAATTCGAAATGCATTCCCGAAAGGAGGATTTGTGTTCTTCGGGCATAACACTTGATTTCCCTCGCTCATGTGATGTAAAGTTAAACTCAGGGGTTGAATGGTCCACGGAGGAACAGAGAAAGGATTCTGACCTCGACAAGTCACTGCGGAGGAGTGTTGACAGACATATCGGATGGGTTGGCAACTTAGTCGGCATGGTGTAATGGCATTTATTGTAGAAATAATGATTCTAGTCTGAAATATACGGTGATACACTAATTATGATCTTCAAGCCTGAAAAGTGTGCCAATGAAGATTAAAGTGATCCATCATTCACGTCAGCGGCCGAGTTGGCCAAGTGGTGTGGGCCCGTTACACACATACTTTATAATCTGGTACTTTAATGTGGATCTCTTGAGCACTACTGCTCACAGGGACCCGAGAGTTTGTTACAGCTATATTTGGACCTAAACTATAAGGTGTTCAGAGTCAGTAGTTTGACATGTTTTAGGGGTTTAGATCGACTTTCGGTAAAAATGACACCCCCAATTATTATATATCCGAGCTTTTTTTTACCGAAAGTCGATATACACCCCTAAAATATGTCAAATTACTCTGAACACCTTAGTTTAGGTCCAAAATATATCTGTTACAAATTTCCAGGTCCCTGTTATACATTCAAACGGCGATTGCACAAATGCCTTAAAATTGTGTGCGTTTTTTGGGGGGGTTTCATAGTTTATTTTAGGGTTTTAACGTGGTTTTGAAGAATTAGTATTGATTTGCTTTAGAAGAAACATATTTCAAGTGGTGTGTTGGTCGAATTTAAGTAAGGTCTAGTAATTGTTCAAGAATATGGTTATGAAGACATAATAATCTTATTGATGATTTTGGGAACTTTTGTTACAAAAGAAGCTGTATAATTATACTCCCTGCACCCCTGGAATATGAAAGGACGAAATCGAAAGCTCTGCACGCGCGAACTTATTAATGATGTACATCAAATGATCACGTGACAGCGTAACGGTTAATCGACTTGCTTTGAGTTTGGGAGTCAATCTCCTGAAAACGACAGATATCAGCTTAGCGATTGGGGTGTTTTTTTTATTGAAACCAATAAAGTAGATAACTTGGTGCCTTCGATTTTGCCATGACTCGTCTGTGCCGGCTCATCTTTAGATTTGAATCACAAAGACAATAAACACAGCTCACTTGATTTTATATACATGTCATTATTTCGGCTATACTCTCTCATACGCGAATCTCTCATACTGTCAGAGGTCAGTTTAAGTTTTTTAGTTTAAACACATATTTTATTGTACAAATATACAAATGGATCGGACAACAAATTATTACAACTTAATAGAATCCTCTCCTCAATACATAAGGGAAAAATAGTGTATATGCTTTCGGGGAAAGGGAAAAAGATAGGATGGAGAAGGAAAGGTGGGGTGGGGGTGATGGAGGGGAGGGGTGTTACCTAGAAAAGTAAACGTGTAAACTGAGAAATCGATCCGCGTTTGAATTAATTATAAATTATACAAATTTCATGACATGCATCCTGGTAGAGTAATTTCAAAATGAACAGAATCAATGTAACAAATAAATCAGGCAAAATAATGAAATACAATTTCATAAACACATATAACAACTTACACATAAATAAAGATAGAAAAGTAATTATAACTATCAAAACCTATTGCTGGATTTGATGTAATGATGCACATGTCTAAAGATACTTATGTTGTTTTCTACCGAATGTTGACTATTACCAAACAAAAGTAGTTCTAAATTAAAATCAACATGCAAGGCATTTAAATTTTGAAGCAGGGTATGTCTTTCGTTGTTAAAAATAAGCACTCACAAAAAAAGTGAAAGGCATTTTCACAGGCATAGCCACAATAACAAATGGACTATCAACCAAATTTACTCTAAAAATATCCTATTTAAGTGGACTACACTGATTTCTAAGTTTAGTGTGCATAATGTTCGATTTACGTTCACTGAAACCTAAGTAGATTGGTGGAGGAGATTGTAAGAATCGGAGGTCAGTGTGATGGGAAACAGAAATGTGCTTCCTAAATAAGTTCTCATTGAACGGGAAATAAGCTGAAAATTTGGTATGAATATCTGTAGCAGTTACTCTTATAATAGTGTCACGTAAACGTTCCAATCACAGTTCAGTATGAACATTAGTTTTAAATAAAAGGTGGCATGCTTGTTTGTCCACTACAACTTTCCAGTGGTGCTGGAATTACGAGGATGGGCACGTCAATCAGTGTGTTTAATTTTACTTTCGTTTTCAGGCCTAATATTGAAAGAGCAATATGTTTTTGGAGATGTGTGATGCATTACCAGCGAGAGAAATACCGCCATAGTATCGCATCATCGATATTCCGGTGGTGTAGAGAGCGAAAGTGAGCGTAACCCCTGGATTTTGAAGATGATAGGGTCGAGGTTGTCAGACTTTTAAATTCGGAACAGACTTTAGCTATGGACACAGTTCCTAATATAGATGAAGGCGAGGAAAGGAGCCATATGTTCTTTATTTATTTTTTACTGTGGATTTTATCTGGATCAGTGGCTTTATATTTTTAGTCTGGTCATTTTGGTCGAAATAAAGGGCCAACCTCAAGAAAATTGCAACAGAATTAATTCATACTTTATGTTATTTGGTAGCATGTCAGCTTTCAGGAAAAAAAGTCTACCAAAATCAACTCATGGGAATGACCTTTCTCAAGGTCACAAGATATATGCCTATATAATACGTATTTTCGTATTCTTGGATATTTGTAGGAAGGAAGAGATTCAACTTTATTATAGTTTTCTTTCTAATATAAATAAATTAAAGAACAATCTGGATATACAACTTTTATTTACTTTATAAAAAATTAGAAGGACAATTTAATTCAGTTCAAGGTCAAATAGTGGACATTCTCTTTTTGCTGATGGTCTTCCAACTGGTGTCCTCTGTTTCTTTGTTTGTGGGGAAAATTCTTGGGGTACCTGTCTGAAGGTTCGGAAGTTAACACTACAACTTTGATGATAAAATGCATCAGCAGCCTAAAGATCAGCTGCATATTCTATCCCTCCCTTCACCTCAGCAGCCCAATCATCATTGCGGTCTGTGCAAATATCCAAAATTGCGCAATCAAAATCTGAAGTTCGAACTGGAAATACGTCAGGGCCTCTTTTGTTTCAAGACAATCTTGCAGATTGACCACAGAAAAGACAGTGTTGTTGAAAATCAAAAAGGAAACTCGAACGAAGACTGCTTTTTGATGCTAATAAGGAAACCGTATCTTTATCCTGAGATTTTTTTGGTTTATGTGCATAGACTTTGGATTAACATATGACTTGCGACAATCTTGGTGTACTTGTTGACCTGGGACAGTAAGTATGGAGTCGCCAAGTACCTAGCTGGCTTCGTTGATACCTATACTACCTTTTTGTCGTAAGGTCACAGCTATATCCCGTCCGTCCTGGAGAGAATGATGACACAGAACAAATTCTTCCATATTTACTGGTATAGCCGTAATTCTGAAAGAAGAAAAATGTCTTACAGCGTCGTGCCAAAAGAGAGTAAAATTGTTTAAATTCCTGTATATTTCAAGTAGACTAATAACATCTGCATTTGCTGAATTTTCCTGGTTCCGTTCTTTACCAATATTACAGACCAAAAAAAAGTTACAAACCGGTTAAAAGAGTTAATTTTGTGACTTTAAACAGTAAAACTAATGCACCCAAGACGAAAAATGTCAATATCGGGTGTTTTAGAAATAGGTAACTTGTTTCGATATCAATATTGTCAAAATTGGCTGTAAAACGTAATGAATTTAATGAATTGCAAATTGCGTACGCATTACGCAAATTATTATAAATCATGTCACTCATGGGCTTCCATACATTTTCTATTTTATCAAGGAGGGTCCAAGGTTTTTATTGATTTTCCACTTTCGATATAATTTTTCACATAATTATGTTTCTAATAATATTGTAACAACGTTGGATGAATTTATTAAAGACAGGAATATGGTTATCGGTCGTGTTTAACACACAGGTTCTCTGCTGGTGCGGCCGTAGTTACATAGCAGACGACGCTACACAATTTATGATTGATGGGCATGTTAAACGTATATTGGAAGCCAACTGCTATTATTTTCATCATTATAAATTACGTTTTTAAATAAATGTGCATTTGTCAACTTACCATGAAATAATTCGGCTCCGTTATCGTTGTTTTGTTTCCGAATATTTTCCAAGGCACTAGCATGATCACTACAAGTTATCTCCCTTTGCGAGCTCTTCTTGATGTACAGCGGCCCGTGGGTGCCATATTCTCCTCGTTGGTATTTATCTTTTTTGATGCGGGAATTAACCATTTTCTCAACTCAAATACAATCAGTTAAAAGGAAACAGTCGTAAAATATTCTGTTGCAATTTTCTGGAGGTTAAATTACAGAATGACCAGAATATTTTTATAGATATTCATGTTTGGGATACCAGTTAGAGATATATAGGTGTAGGGCATGAATCAATGTCTTTCTTTTTACACAAGCAATAACATTTTCTATGTGACGTTTCGATGACTAGTACGATATGTACACTGTCACCGTCATCAGACAAATGACCAGTTAAGCGTATGCACACAAAGATGTAAAATATGTGCGAGTTGTCCATAAATAGAAAATGTTTAGAAATGTCTATGTCCTTTGGTACCCTAATGGCATTAGCTCATGTAAGGGCGTGAAACCCTAAACACATACATCGACTGTATTACGAAGCCTCTCAGCCTCGACTAATATAATACGCACTTGTGTTGCGCTCGTTTTGTTCGTGTTAGGTATCAAATGCAAAGTAAATTGGACTTTGGTAAACATCTGAGCACTTTGATTGACGGCTGCGTTGTGTTTCTGGGGTACATTATTAAGTAAAGTCAGCATTTGATTCATATTGACCTTAGTCCCAGTGATATGTAAAAGTTTCGGGCTTTTCCCGGGAAAATAGATTGATCGTCTTGAACTTAACAAAAAATATATTTGTCAAACGTTGAATTTTATTTAATAACACAATGCATATTGAACTTTATTGCAATTCTTCCTTGTTTACTGATCAACAAACACCATTAAAATGTGATATAAATAATTAATATACAACATAATTCACTACATCAGGCTTTAGAAAATCATTTCCTTTAAAAACAACAATGTGATGATATGTTGACTAGAGTTATCATTGGGCCTCCATCATGGATGAAAGTTGGTCATTTTCATGTGTCTGCAGGGTTTCTGAACACTTAATGCAATCCTCTTTTGTTGCTCGAAGTACTGCTTGCTTGTCAGGACTGAAGAGTGTGGCCAGGTCTACTTGCAACATATGACAGCGCACTGAAAACATAATAAAAAATAACGGTATCACCTATAACTATTCACGGAGAGCGGTAGTAAACAGTTTCGAAGTGTAAAGAACGTAGAATTCATTTAATTTGGTTTGTTGGTGTTTTACGTCCTATTAACAGATATATGGTCATTACAGGACATGCCAGGTTTTGGTGGTGGAGGATGAAAGCCGGAGTTCCCGGGAAAAACCCACCGACCTACGGCCAGTACCTGGCGACTGCCCACGTAGGCCTCGAACCGGCGACCCAGTGGTGGAGGGCTAGTGGTAGCAGAATGTCATACCATGGATTATACAGACCTTTTTATGGTCGAATGTGAGCCAGTTCCCTTCTCCTATTTTGGCATTATTTCCCCCTATTTCAGCTTTAGTTCCCCCTATTTCAGTTAAAAATTCCCCACCTGTAACTAAAATCCTACCACATGAATATCTGTCTTGGTTCCATTTTTGCTTTTAATTTTCCATCAGTTCTACAATTGAGTGATTTATTTCATTTTCCCTGTGTTGTTTTTAATTGTCCCTGTTGATATTCTGTAATCTATGATGAACAGCGAGGAACAAAACTAAATATCTAATCCATGCCCCCTCTCGTACTCTCCCCCTGGCTCCGGCCTGCAGCTCTTGCTGGACACTGGTCATGCACATACTATATAAGTTGACATACAGCGCATATTTCCCCCTATTTCAAAAAAAGGGTACTAACTTTCTACCACGTGCATTAATCCCTACATACGCCTTAACCACTTGGCCACCGCGGCCAGATTTTTTTCATGATATTGATAATTCTTAGATGACAGAATAACTACTTACATGTAAGCATTATAGTTGGTGGCATAATGGTAATCTTGTTTAAGGCAGGCCGAGATTAATAGATCGGCTTCCGTAACACAATATACAAGAAAGATACAAGAAATTTTACTTATAGACGTATATATGAAAACAGAAACATTAGCTCTGACGAGCTATTATAACGACAACAGAATACTATTTTGATGGGTTGTTTGCCATGTTTCCATATGAGATCATCATAACCCCCCC